AGGCGGGGGGGAGGGGGGCATTCAAAGTCCATTACGCAGCCACGCAGCCAGGCGGCCAGGCAGAGGGACCTACCAGTGCCTAGGGTGCGGGGCTGAGCTGGGAGAGGAAGGCAAGAGAGACCCAGATGGAGAGAGATGTGTAGTAGGGAGTGTAGAAAGCGTGAGGGCAAATACATTCGGTTCCCAGAGTTGAGCTGTATAAGAACCAGGGTGGCATCCACGTTTAGAAGTTTTTGTTTTAGAAGACACTCATGGCTTGACTTGGCAGAACAGAAATGTTAGGCAGTCTCTAAGGGAACAAAAAATACCAGTGGGGTCGTACAGACAGGGCGGTTTCACAGTTTCACAGCTTTCTGGTCTGGGATCTTCGCTACAAAACTAAAAATTATGGGGATCCCAAAGAGCTTCACTGTGGTTAATAGCTACTGCTGTTTCATATTAGAATATGAAACAAGAGAAGCTTTAAAACTATTTATATATTTACTTAAAAGAAACGCATGTTATTATAAATAATAACTATTTAAGCCTGAGTAGCAAATGTTTGTTAGGTTCCCCCCCCCCCCGCAACCCAAATGAAGTATCCTAAGGATGCCTAAAATCCAATCTACTCTGGAGGCTGAGACAGGAGGATCACTTGAGCCCAGGAGTTTGAGACCAGCTTGAGCAACATAGACAGGTCCCTGCTCAAATTTAACACACACACACACACACACACACAAGGTATCCTATAAAAAATTGGCACTGAAACTTGCAATTCACTCAAGTCATACTGTATTTAGTACGAGGATATGGGGTTTATATAATAGTCTGTCTGTAATGTTTTGAGCAACTAATAAAAAATTTTAAAAAAAGAATAGAAATGTAATAAAATTAGTAGTTTTTAAATCACTTCCTCAAGGAAATTTTTCAATGAAACTGATTTTTTTCCCTCTAAGTTTATGGGGGTGGTGCCATTGCCTTGATCACTGCTAAGGTGTCAGCAGTTTTATGCACCCTTCTGCACCCACTAGGTACTTGGGAGCTCCACTGAGGACTGTTTTGGGAAAAGAGATCAGCAGAAACAAAGAAGCATTGATTGGAGGAGGCACATCTTTATTATAAAGCAAAGGGAGGGCGGTTGCAGATTTGGTGGCAGGAAGTGATATACCTGCATAAGTATAAAACAAGGTCAGCTACAAAGAATATGGCCAGATTATTGGCCTGGGGTTTGAAAAGGTTGGATGAAATTTTCAATAATTTTTTCCTGCAGTGCCTGAGATTGAACCCAGGACCTCATACATCTTAGGCAAGCACTCTACCACTGATCTGCATCCCCAGCACACAAGTAATTTATTTTCAGAGGAGACCAAAGAAATGTAAAGTTTGATCAAAGAAATGTAAAGTTGGAAGATCATTGTGAGGTTGGCAATGCTGAATTTACTGGGAGTTCTCTTGAAAGCAAGGGTGGATTTACCTGGTTGCTTGGATTTGGCTCTTTTTTTCTTTTCTTTTTTTTTTGAAATGAGGAAATTAAGAGGGCTGGGAATGTAGCTCAGTGGTAGAGGACATGCCTGCATATGGGAAGCACTAGGGTTCATCCCAGCACAACAACAACAACAAAAGAAAAAGAAAGACAAGAAAAACAAAAGTAATGACAGATTTGCCAAGTCAGATCTTACTGATTCAGGGTTAGCAGAATGCCAGTGATGATATCCTGTGAAATACAGAGTGTCTGGATTTCAGTAATGAAAAATCCTGTATTGTTGGATGGCTTCAAAAGGATTTTCCCAGAGTGCTGAGCAATTTCCTCAGAAGAGCAAGTTCCTTGCATTAAGAGGGAAATTTCTTGTTGTGGTTAAATTATGTAGAGTTTATTTGAGGAAATGAAACATCACCTGTACATCTCCCAGAAGCAGAGCAGGTTCTGAGAACTCCATCTGACAACATGATCTGAGAGCATTCATTGATAAACTGAAGTGAAACCTAGAGACCAACTTCATTGGCAATAGCCTAGTCAATCGAACAGTCAAGTGGTTGCAGTTTAAATGCTCACTTGTTTACAGGTGACTCAGTCAGCTGACTCCAGGGACTTCTGCAACCAGCTAAGGCTTATTTACTCTGATTGAACCCTGAATGGGGTTGGTCTTTTGAGCCCACTGCAGGTGCCCAGTTCAAATGCATAGCCTCCTACAAAATATCCTTTAACATTTGGCATTAGACAAGTTCCTTCTGGAACTGAATGCTCCATTAGGGATGATGGGGGTTTGTTGCATCATGTTAATTTTTTTGAGGGGTGGGTGGAGAGGGCACCAGGGATTGAACTCAGGAGAACTTGATCATTAAGCCCTATTTTGTATTTTATTCAGAGACTAGGTCTCACTGAGTTGCTTAGTGCCTTGCTTTTGCTGAGGCTGGCTTGGAACTCATGATCCTCTTGTTTCAGCCTCCTGAGCCACTGGGATTACAGGCGTGCACCACTGTGTCCATGTGGATTTTTTTTATGTCCTGCAGAGTCTGAGATTTGGTGCTCCTATAAAAGGAAATAGCATATCGAATGGGTATAGTCCCTCAATTTTATTTGATCTCCTCTATGTATTTGCGAAGGCAATGTATTTACAATTGAATAAGTAGCTAGTGAGTGTGCAGTTACCTCCCCTCCAGAAACAGATGCTTCATTGAAGATAGGTATTTTTGTTTTTTGAGAATACTTTAAAAGGGTACAATTGATAAAGTTATGGATAGCTTTATTTATTTATTTATTTTTTTGATGGTAAAGAAACCATCAAGAGGGCTGCGGATATAGAGCAGATGGTAGAGTGCTTGCCTTATATGCAAAAGGCCCTGGGTTCTAATCCCCAGCAACACCACCACCACAACAACAAAAAGAAAGAAAAAAGAAAGAAAGAAAAGAAAAGAGAGAAGACATCAAAAGACAGTTTACTTGGGAGGCTTAGGCAGGAGGACCATGAGTTCAAAGCCAGCCTCAGCAAAAGCGAGGTGCTAAGGAACTCAGTGAGGATTCTCTAAATAATATACAAAATGGGGCTGGGGATGTGGCCCAGTGGTCGAGTTGCCCCTAAGTTCAATCCCTACTACGCCTCGCCACCAAAAAAAAAAAAAAAAAAGACATTGTACTATAAGAGCACTTGTGATATCTGGGAGTCATTATACTCCTAGACTTAAAGGGGTGGGGAGAGAAGGGGAGGGAATGATTACTAGAAGTTGAGAGGGTATCTTTTTGAAGAGTATTGACTGTTGAAAGTAAGTTGTGGCCTGGATAAAGGGACTCAGGCAGTCCATTGTAGTCTGGCATGGAGGGAGCATCCTGACTACATTTGCTATAATCTCAAGTTCCTGCCACTGCTGTCTACTGGGAAAACCAACCAGAAGCCATAGGGCAAGAGTTAAGATGTCTCAGGAATCAAGCACAGTGGCACATACCTATTATTCTGGTTACTGAGGAGGCTGAAGCAGGAGGATGGCAAGTTTGAGTCCAGGCAGGACAACTTATTGAGATCCTGTCTAAAATAAAAAATGTAAAGTAGCTCAGTGAGAGCACACCACAGGGTTCACTTCCCAGTACCATACACACACACATGGTCTTAGCCTCTGTCCTCTAAAGTGTCAGAGACAGGTAATACTACTTATCTATGAAGTAGGAGGAGGAGTAAGTAGGATAGAGAATGACAGAGGTCAATCTGTCTGAGCAGATGGAAGACACACAGTGAATACCTGGGCTTGGGCCATGGTAATCTGGAACCTAGTCCATCTTTCCTTGCTTAACTCTTCATTTCATTATCTGTTGCCCAGTGCACAAACTGCTCTATCTTCCTCAGTTCCCATTATAAGCCACAATAAGGAGTTCATTATTAACGTTACATGGCTTGCAGGCTTTAAAAAGAATCCTGGTTTTGCAAAGAGGTTTAAGTTCTGTGGCTGACTGTGCCACTTAACAGCTAGAGTGCCACAGAGCAATTCAGGTAGCATAGAGAACAGGGGTTGAAAGTGAAGTTTATGAAAGTGCCAGTCACTGAGGCATTGTAAAAATACTAAATTTTAATGCTTTGCATGCTATATGGTTTAATTTCCCTTGAAGAGGAGTGGGTTTCATGTTTATGTTCTGGTTCCCAGCGCGAGTGTCTCTATCCACGTGGGGCAGGCAGGTGTCCAGATCGGCAATGCCTGCTGGGAACTGTACTGCCTTGAACATGGAATTCAGCCCGATGGTCAGATGCCAAGTGACAAAACCATTGGCGGCGGGGATGACTCGTTCAACACGTTCTTCAGCGAAACCGGGGCTGGCAAGCACGTGCCCAGAGCAGTGTTTGTGGACCTGGAGCCCACCGTGGTTGGTAGGTGCTCAGGCCTGCAGGGAGGCCTTCCTGGGAGGGTGGGAGCGCCTTGGTAAAGTCCCATGTGGACTCCTTGAATCCCTGTGCAGAAAGGAGGGATGTTGAAGCCTATGCTCCCAACATTGCTGGGTGAGGCACTCACTGGTGTGGACTGAAGGTTCTTGACTGTGGGACTCAGGCACCTATCTCAGGAAACCTGCCCTGCAGAGAAAAGCTGGTAGCCAGCAGTAAGCTGGGCTGCAGAGAGATTCCCTCCTGGCTGACTCTGCTGGTCAGGTGGCTCCCGTGCACACCCAGTGCAGGGTGTGCAGCCTTGATTCCCTCCTTCATGCCACCCACACTGACATGCTGGCACACTACAGTCTTGAGCTACCCAGAGACGTGGAACCTTAAGTGTAGAACATTCATTGGATTCCTCTAGATTGGAAGTCCTAGGTAGTTTCCCATAAGAGGTGGAAAACAGAGCACCTTTCATTGGTTCCCCCGGGACATAACAGAATACCTGTGTGACCAGGCCATATGCAATTCCCTGATGGCACGGCCCCGCTGAAGTCACGCTGACCTGGTGACTGCGGGTTTATGAGTGAGTTTTTAATTGTTCCCTTTGATGTAGCTAGGGGTAGGAAAGAAAGATGTACCTGGAGAATCACCCATATGGGCATGTGAGCATTTTGCCCTCAGTGGGAACTGATCCTGCTGGCATTTGTACGACTGTTGACTCTACCTTGTAAGAGCCGTAAGTGGCATTTGTGGTTTGTGTATCACACAGAGATTTTTCCAGTGTGTGCTTTGTAGATTCAGCCGTCCTGCGGCTGTGTCCACCTTAGTGAGTACAGCAGGCCAGGGAGACTCCCAGAACATGGGGTTTTTTTTTTTTTTTTTGTAGATGAAGTGCGCACAGGGACCTACAGGCAGCTCTTCCACCCGGAACAGTTGATCACTGGGAAGGAAGATGTCGCCAATAATTATGCCAGAGGCCATTACACCATTGGCAAGGAGATCGTGGACCTGGTCCTGGACCAGATCCGCAAACTGGTAGGAAAAGCACCAAGGAGGCTTCTTGAAGAGGTTCCCGGGTGGGGACGGTGGGCCTTGGATTGTGAAAGGGAGGTCATCTGGGGAGGTCTTAGGTCAGGTTCTGGGATCTGACCAAGTCTACAGAGTCTTCTTGTATGGTGTCTGCTGAGATGCATTGATAGCTGTCTCTTGTCTGCTTTGGCTTCTGAGGGTAATGCCTGCTGGTTAGGCACTTATTTGAGTCCATGTGAACTTGTGAGAGCACAGAGAAGTGAGCCTGGCCTGTTGGAGTTTGGTGGTGTGTCTTCCACAGCCTTTGGCTCACATTGTGTGGTTTCTTGCAGGCGGATCTGTGCACAGGACTGCAGGGCTTCCTCATCTTCCACAGCTTCGGGGGCGGCACGGGCTCCGGGTTCGCTTCTCTGCTCATGGAGCGGCTGTCAGTGGACTATGGCAAGAAGTCCAA